GAGTTTATAGTTGGAAGACAAGAAGAAATAAAGTCCTTTAATCAACTACAAATCCCTCAAAATAGAGAAATATCAAAATACGTCTGATATGTCCAGTGCCAAGGAAACTGAATTATCACAAGTGCAAAATCATAAAGGGAGTTGGTGCACTAGGAGGTTGTGTCACCTTCCTATTAGTGGAGGACTTTTGCTGTATAATAGAATCATTATACAGTAGCACAAATCACGAGAAATCTCACGAACTTAGGTGGAAGTTGCCTAAAGGCTAGTGGCATGGAAATCTCTAAGGCACACGCATGAGGAAGATGGTTTTCTGTATGAAGAGGTGTGTATTATCTTGGAAAAATTGTTTTACTAAATTTCCATTATTAAATAGTATTGTATACCATAACATTACATTACATACTCATAACAAAACTACAATGGGTATTTACACACACCATCTTATTCTCAGTTCACAACTTGCACTCATGAAACCATGAATTGGTATTGGTTAATTCAAGTAATATCCATGAGAAATTACCACTATCATCCTGAAGTAATTTTCAATGTTAGTAATTTACTGCTATTATAGCATTTATTTTTTGGTATAACTGAAGCGAAGAATTGATTTCAGGTAGAAAAAGTGCTGGAGACATGCTCATCAACTTCTGATTAAATGTGCTACCTAAATAGATCAAAACTAAAAATTACAATCCAGTAATTCATACAGCTATGTTTTCTAGGAGTATGCAAAGTCATAAAACAAAAGCATATAATTATTAGATTGCAATGATTCATCCACTGGGTATGCCTGCTGTTAGAGGTTTTTTTGGCTATAATCCAAGTAATATCTCAATATTCGACTATCTCAAAATATTACGGTTAGTCCTAAATCTGCATACTAAGTTAACAATACAAAATTATCTACATGAAAAAATAATAATCAAAACACTTGAAATATTACAATTAATAAAACATTTTAACCAATACCGTTAATGAAACTAATATTAAATAAAGGATAGCATATAACTTACACACAAAACATAACTAGTTGTTTACTTCTCACACAATCATCAGATTCCTGTTCCTTGGAAATCATTAGCACCAGTATAAACAAAAATATGTATATTCTGCCTCAACAAAATCTAGACTCAAATACAAACACATCACGACTCTGACAGTGTGAATTTAGAGTAGCTTAACAACCGAGATAAAATGCTATGAGGTATTAATGTTTGATAGAGAAAATTAGTTTATGAAGGTAAACTATTAAATGAATGAAAAAAGCATGTAGAAAAACATTAAAAATATTAATGGTCTAACTTGAATAACTAATTTAAGTATTAAGAAATATTAACATATTATGAGCTGTTTCTAACAACTATTATGACTAACTCCTACACACATGGCCAATTGACAGAGCAAGTAGATGAAATAAAGTTGAACCTAAGAAGTAGCCAAAGTGATAAGATATGAAATAGATAAAAAGTAGTAGTCATCAGTGGGATGGGCAAAAGCTAGCTCTCTGGGAGTGGTGGCAAAAGGAGGTATAGGGGCACAAAGAGGAAATGTGTGAGAGAGGATGAGGGTATACAGGCCAAAGAACAGGAGAGGATGTAGGGGAATGAGCAGGATGGGAGAGTAAAAAAATGAGAGAAAATTGATAGCAAGCAGCTTCAGCCCAAGACTTCAAGGTGAGAACACCACAAAGACCTCGTGGCAAATGAGAAAAGTGAGATGCAAGCCACATGGGGAGGATTGAAGAAGGCGAAAGACAGAGAAGAGTGTGTCATATCTGAGTATATCTCAACTACACAGAAACTGTGCAAGGAGAGAGAGAGAGAGAGAGAGTCAATGATAAACCATAACCTAACTAGGGAAAAGGACTGACTGGAGGTATTCCAGAAAAACTAACTATATCCCAGTAAAGAGCCTCAGATAGGAGACAAGAAAAGATAGATAGCAAAGAAATAGAGCAAGGAGAATGCAAAAATGAGAGAAGTTAGACCTGATAAGGGATACAGGAAATAGAGGGTCAATCCTTAACCAGGTAGAAGGAATTCCATATATTCAGAATCCAAGAAAGTGGAACAGAAGTGACTATAAGCCCTGTTAAAGAAATGATGGAAATGAGGAGAAAAAGGCATGGAAGAGTGGGAACAATGCTGAGACAAATATCAGTATGGATACTAAAGTCAGATGAAGAGGGAAAAAATAAAACTAAAGCATTGGAATAAAGATCATGAAGAAACACAAGACATAAGAGAAAGGGGAAGCACACAATCAGGAAAGAGAGGGGAATAACATGTTCTTCAACAGCAAATGACAGAGCAAAGCTAGGCAGTAGAAATGGCTGGATAGAAACAGACCTCGTAGTGAGGCAAAAAAATGGAGAAAACACTGGGGATAGAATAACAGGGAAGGAAGGTGAAACTCATTATTGGTTAAAATCTTCCATGTACAAAGAACCTCTAGCAGCAACAGAAAAGGTAAAAACTGTAAGGACAACCCTAGTAGAGGACATTAACTAGTTTCATTCAAGACGAAAATTTTGGCTTTGTGAACAGAACTAGAAACTTGAGAGGGTAAAACCACAGAAACATGAGTTGGCAGGGTTGAAAAATAGTGTGAAAAGTAACCCTAACACAGCTTGTAGTGTAACACTGTTCAGAAATGAAGAAACATGAGAAATGGAATCATCTATCTCTTGCAATTTGAAAATGAAGAACAGGTGCGCATTGAAAAAAGAAAGAGTCAGAAAGACAGTATCTATGATAATAAAGAATACTAAATTAAATCAATTACAAAACCTTTCAAAATTGAGAGTAAAATTAGACATGTCTGGTAATGGCAGTGCTGAGTTTAAGAAAAGTTAAGCTTGAGTGCAAGTACTTATGAGAATCTACTGCACATAGAAAATGTGTCTCTCTCCTATTGGTGGAGGATTATTGTCACATGATGAACACATTATGTACCAATGCAGTTCATGTCTAAAAACGTGATTTAGGTAGAAGACAGTTCAAGACTAGTGGCATGTACAAAATCTCAACATCAAGCACGTGAGAAATAGCGACTGTGTGCATTGAGGTAAGTGGATCATTTCTGAAACAAATGTAATTAATGCTATACTATACAAGTAACTGTTAAACAGGTTGTATTAGCTAGAGTTAGAGGTTAAAGTAATGGATGGTAAAACTAACATCAACTGTCATTATAAAGTTGTTCATTATCATATTAAAAGACAGTCAATAAATAAATTTGTACAGAAAGTTTTGAAAAGGTTGTGTTAACCTGTAAATTTTCAATCCCACAATTACTTGCAATAAAACTGTTGAATTTACTTCAAAATAACTGGTGTTCAAAATATAGTAGGACAAAGCTTGTTTGTGAAAAATTAGAGTTTATGAACTCTACACGCAACATAATATGTTGAAGACACTCAATTATATCTAATCAGCTATATCATAACTTATTTGGAATGTTCCTATTCAGAAATGAGAAATTCATAAATTACAAAAAAGTATTTTACAGAAAATTATGAAGTTCCTCATTTGATTAACGATACTTATATCCAAAAGAAGGTGGTGTGCTTTGGTTGTAGCAAAACATCTTATTTTTTCAGATTGAGTTCTGGTGGACTTGTTTGATGTGGTCAAGAAAACCTAGACAATTCAATATCAGTAATATATCTCCAATCATTACTAATATACAAAGCTTTGTTATAGTCTTTCTTACTAACACTTGTGTATTAAAAAGTCATGTTTAAATAAATATAAATCTACAATTTATGAGCCAAGGTTGCTATTCATGGGTATTCTTTATATTACAAACTCTGTATTCATTAAAACAAAGCAAATATTTACCAAAATTATTTAAAGATTTTGAAATTACTGACAAATCTCTTGAATTTTATCAATAAAAATATTAGTTTAAAGATTACTAAAAGCCAATGTTGGTGTTAATTTTGCCTAAATGTCTTAATTTTCTCTTTACATTCAATGGAGTTACCAATGATAATTTACACATTAATACTGGTTCTTTGATAATATTATAGCATTTGTTTAAAACTCATTTCATGTATTTCAGAGCTTTACCTTTATCTGAAAACACAATACAATAGATGATTAACTTATCTATTTACTTGATGAAACAGAATCCTGCAAGGTCTGGCAAAATTTACTAGTAACTGAACTGGTGGTCAGGAAGAAGAAAAGATAATTTCAAGCCCTGCTTCTCACAAGTCATTAAATACATTAATTTCTGATCAATGTGAGCTACCTACATAAATAAGAACTAAAAATTATAGGCATATAAAATAGAAAATAAATTTGAGGAAACTCTTGAGTAGTACAAAAAGCAAGCCTGATAGGGAGAGCCATGCATCTTATACTGCATACCATCATGATGAAAATCACTCATACATATACAATTCATATTTTTTTTATACCTTTTTTTTTCAATCTCATTACTGTGTGACAAGATTTAAGGGTGACAGTAAACTCATATCATCTGCTTTCTATGATTTGCTCGAATATCAGAACCCATAGATTTTGAGCAACACAAAGGAATTTCTATGAATCTGCAGAGTTTTCCCATCCTTATAATTAACATACCCATCTAACTAGATGTATGTAAAATTAAAATTTATAATGAATGGAATGAGTTGCTTCTTCAGCTGGGTATTCTTGCTGTTATTTCAATTTCTAATGTAAGCAGTTACATACATACATACAGTAAAGCCATAACAAAAGAAATATTGTAATATAGCAATTAAAAAAAACAGATTTTTTTCAATTTATCTCTCATCGCAAACACTAATATCATTACTACAATTGAATACAGATATAATCTTCATTTCACAAACACACAAACATATATATATATTACCTTCACAGCATATCCTGATGCATCCAGATTTTTTTCAATTTATCTCTCATCGCAAACACTACTATCATTACTACAATTGAATACAGATATAATCTTCATTTCACAAACACACAAACATATATATATATTACCTTCACAGCATATCCTGATGCATCTAATGCCTCATCCCCGATGTAAAAATCCAGGTCTTCTATTCCACGTCCCAATCTTCGAGTAGCCTGATCACCAATTTTTGCAGTCTCTTTGATGCCTATGGCTATATTAATAGACTTTGATAAGTTAGTGAAAAACAAATGAAATATTTAAATTTTAAGCCTTTATCTATGGCTTTTGTTTAGTGAAAACATTTTCACCGTTATCAAAAACTTCATTCCAGTAACTTTTTAAGAAACTACACAATACAGGGCATCTAAGAATTTTGGAAAAACGTTTGAGAAAAATCTGTAACATAGAGATACACAATTTGTTGCATGTGCAATAATAATGTGCAGTCTTTTGTCCCCATTTTCAACAGCATAACTATTCTTTAATGCTGTATAAGAAGGCATGGATCTAGGAGAAGTGCAGGGACCAACCTTCCATTTGTTTCAACAACTGATTAAAAAAGTAGCTAGATGTCATAAACAATAGATGTTAGTTTTTGACTAATTGGGTTATTAATTACAATAAAAGCTTTTTGAGGTTTCCTGAGATCATCATAATTGGAGTCTTGTAGCAATCCAGTTAAGGCCTCAGACAATAACCAATTGCTTCTAAACTAATAAAACAATGTATATGAATATCAATTGAGCACTGCCACTGTACATTTTTGTACTTTGTTTTTTCCACACACTAACAATGTATCTAGACTTTAGAGATTTGTTTCATCAAATTTAGTACTGTTTAAGATACTTGCAGCTCTTATAAACCTGTTAAAGTTGACCTTTCATTCTTTAGAAATTAGAATTATCATGGGAAAGATATTTTTCACACTGTTAAAGTCTAAAACAAGTGGTATGACATTACAAGTAATGACTTTTTACAGTTTCATTTTTCTAATAGGGTGGGTGGCCTTTGGAATGAGTTACCTTCAGATATGGTAGATGCAGTTAATAAAAGAGTTTAAGGAATGGCTTGATAAGCATTTGAATGATGTGGGCTGGCTTTGAATGTTTTTTTTTTAAAGTTTAGTTTAGTGGACGAGATGACCAACATGGACCAAACGTTAAGTTATATCTATACATATGTAACATCGATTAATCCAAAATACTATATTATTACAGTAGAAATCTCCTCTTCATGTAAAAAATGCCAAAAATCTGATTACAGTGTTACAAAGCTAACTTTCAAAAAGGCAACTGGTATCTTATCATTGGAAAAATGAAACATTATGGCAGCTAGTTTGGAGAAGTTAAGCACTGTGGTTAATTATTAATACAATAATACTAAATTATTTGAATACTTCCTAGAATTATTTTATCCCCTAATGGTTTTCAAACTTGAAGATAACATTATAACTACCAACAGATTTATTTTGCACTTCTATAAATATGTAAAAATAGAAGTAACATGAAAAATAATTTCATTTGGGGGTATGATAATGTCCTCATTTCCTTTGACAGAAATAGTATGCTAGCAATAGTAGCATATGTTTGCATAAATGTTTCTCTCAAACCCTCACTTCCTCTTCACTAGATCCAACAGTATGTTTCATTTTACTTTTTGATCTCCCTTTGTATCAAAATATATCTAAACAGTGCTTCTCTTATTAAATCTCTCAAAAACAGCATTTTCACATCAATTTGTTTTATCTCTCTGCAGTGGGAGGATTTTGTTGGCAATGTGACAAAACATAGTTCCAATTAAATGTGATTAAACTATTATTTTTTAACATTAATTAGTATATATGGAAAACAATTGTTTTGATGAGTTTTATTTAAATATATATTATTTATAATCATAATTTTAGGTATTTTCTTGTCTGTAACAATCTTATATTGAATTTAGTAGTAGTATCTATTTCTTAAATGTATAATTTATTAGTAATAATAATAATTAGAGAAATATAAAGAATCTGTTCAAAATTGAGTGCTAAGAGCCTATGCCCCTTAAGAATATATCCATTTCTTGATTTTCAAGCAATTTCCTTAGTTTCTGTAAAGGCTTTGGTTGAAACCTCACTGTGGTGGTTTGATAATTTACTAACAAAATACAGCTTTGAAAACAGCTATAATAAACAAATAAATAAAAGTTTAAATATGATTAGATTGTTCAAAAGCTACTGTCATATAATAGTAAATATATAGGTTTATTTAATCACCATGCAGTCACCATTAAGTTTGTTTTTGAAATATGCAATACTTTCACACTAATCATCCAACTCTACTTGTGGATACATGTTAATATATAATTCTGTACTAGTTAAGGGAATTGATCTGTTTTCAATCGAGAATATTTATAAGAGTTTGGTATATAACCCTTAAATGAACGTACAAAATAATTTATCTAGGTTAATACATCATGTGGGCCACAAGTGACCTGCCAAATTATAAAAGAATTCAGACCATGTTTATGTCTAAATTTTTTATTTAGTTTAAGAGTACACAAGAAAGATGGCCACAATACCAAATAAACAACAGAAATATCTGGAAAGTCTGTACCATCATCAAATATCCATCACAATTCCTCGGGTATTACATCTATAATTTGTAGTTAGCACAAACAGTTGTTTTTGTTGTGTGCGAACATACAGAGGAGATCAGTGTGGTGCATTTTGAACATGATGTCAGTTTCCCCCTCTTTAGAGGTAGGGCACATCGAACATCTTTTTCATTTGGAAGTTCTAGCAGTGTTCTTTGTTATGTTATCATTGTATTCTTCAGGAAATTTTTCTGTCATAACTTTTCAGATAAAATTAACACAAATCTTACCATATGCATGACCTGGGTTGCTAATGACCAATGGCCTTTCATTACAAATTAATGTGATCCATTTACCAAGAAGGTTGATTTATGGAATTGAAAACATTTGATAAAAAATAATAAAAATTCCAACATCAGTTTCAAACCAATAATGTGGGTACAAGGGTCATTTGTGATCCACAGCTTGCACTTAAAGGTTAAATATATACTAAAGTTCAAATAAAGTATTTCATGATAGGTTCTAATTTCATGTGAAAGAAAGATATATGTGCCATAATCCAGGGAAAAGTATGTAGTCACAATCATCTCAAAAAATTCCCAAGCAATCAAAATATTAAAAAGTACCTAAAAAAATAAAGTTTGCATAAAAGAACATATAAATATGTTCAGTATTTCTGTCAGAAAACTATCTGTAAAAAGCAATAACTAACAGCACAAGCAGAGAGGTTCTTTAGGTGCATTTGTGTGTGGAAAATGAGCCACAGAATAAATGTAACATTACCCTTTTCTTCAAGTATAATGAATGCTGAAGTTACATTCCAAATTTACAAATAATTTTTAAAATGTGTAAAATGGGTTTATTTACTTCTATTAATCTGTTTAATACCCCCAAAAAATCACCACACTGTTTTATGCAACTTGATAGGTTTTCCTCAAACTTTAATTGACAGTTTATATCCTATTTATTTTCTCTATCCTAACATATAGACTGTTAAGTCTTTCAACCCAGGCGCGGTCCCTGGGACCAACCTCATAACCACTGTGTGCTTGTTATAGTTTTCATACTATAACTTTCAAATTAGTAATTAAATTAAATTTGGCAGTTTATCATTAAACATTAAAATGCTTTCATACGCAATTTTTTTTTTTTTTATCAAGTCTTAAGGTTTGTAAAGCAATGTTTC